CAAGGTATATAGGACTAAAAACTCGGTATTTTTGTAAATGTTTTTACATCTTGAGGGTGAATTTGAACCAACAAAAAAAAATATGTACTCTCATACTCACATTCATTCTCAAGATGTCTCATTGGGTTTTCATTAAAACATCTTGAAGATAGGCATGAATGAGGTTGTGAGCGAGTAGATGATAGTCTTATTACTATAAATATTCCTTTGTTTTTAGCCTTTTTTGTGAGAGAGACATCATTTATCAAATTGAACTGATGCAAGCAAACAGTATAATCATCATCAGAGATGCCCATGGTAGCACAGCAGTGGCATGTTTGCAGTAAAGTCATCGTGGAGCGACGCGGGTGTGGGTGTGTTTTCTTTAACCACACACACACCCTCAAGAATATCTGTTGTTAATGTTAATAAAGATTTATTTATATTTAAATTTGTTAATGATGATGACATAGCACGTATATAAATTTTTTCTGCTATATGATTTATATGTTGTATGTGATTGAATACGAAATTTTAATGATAGATATATATATCAAAGATGACAATGCTTTCTTTTCCTCACTATATCAGGAACTTATCTTCACCATCGCTATTGCTCAAATATGAGTGCATTGCCGACTGAACAAAAACGTTTGAATTCGGTGCATATCTAATTATGTTTGATGCTTTTTTGTAGCAGATATGAAAATAATTAATGCACTTTGAAGTAGAAATATTGATCGATGAGTTTTTCATATTGAATATACTCTCTCTAATTAGAGACAAGTTTTTGAAAACTCTGTTTAAGTTGAGTACATTTTGCGTACACTATCGCCCTCTATATCCCGTATGAGAAGTTGGCTTGTCTAACTTGATATTTATTTAAGCCATTCGGTTCGTTCGCTATTATTGTCGATTGATTGTATTCGAAATAATATATTCTGTCACTTAAAGGCAGAGAAGGATAAAAAATACAATCATCTCTTTATTTTTTTACGTCAAATGGACAATAATTTTTTATTGCTGTTTTTTCTCAGGTGTGAAGTATTTATATAGAGATTCGTCATGAATTTTCTTTATTTCGGTTTATTAAAGAATATTTAACGTATATGTTTTTTTCTGTTAATCAGAATCATTGAAATTCTCCGCAGTTGCAAAGGAAAATACATGATTTCATGTAAAGCTATAAGTTCTAGTTATTCGTCTCAATGTCTTTGTTTCTATTTTTTTTTTCGATAGATTTAGACAAATTTAAACTAAGTTTTAATATATTGTTATACTGATAAAAATTCTTAAAAATTCAAAAGAAATAATAGTTGTTGTTATTTGCTCTATACATGTAGCTTAAATGAATCATTTAGTATACTAGAAAGTGTGAATGTAGGTGGGTATAATGAGAATGTATCAATCTCATACCCTGAAAATACAGTACGAAAATTTAAGAGAAGAATAAGCGCATGACTTGTTAATTTACATCTAAATCAGGTTGGTTATCACACTTAAATATCAACTAACTAATCACGTACTTATTTCTGTCTTAAATTTGTGTAATGTGTTTTTGGCCTTAGATAATAGAAGTTTCGTCTAATTGCATTTGTACTGTAACATCTGCTAATTAAAATACTTGCTTTGGAAAACAACGATTTCTTAAATGTTTCGAAGTAAACAATTTCCTCATTTGATTAATATGGGTTGCATTTTTTATTACCTCTATGTCTTTTTAGAGATTCTCTGAAAAAAATGGTTGATTGTAAAAAAATACGTCATGTTTTTGCTATTATTGTCACCTATTTGTGTACTGTTGCATGGATAGCTAAAGCTTGGGCCGAGTTTTACAAAATAACTAGATATGTCACCCGTCAGTGTCAAGTCAATTCTGCCGATATCGAGTGGCATGACAAGATATACCGTGGCATGTGGCATGCCATTTTGCTAGATGAAGATAAAAGACGCTATGTTTTAGTGAGAGAAGATTTATCAAAACATCTCAATAAACAAGAATGGAAGAAATCACAAAAATATCAGGTATATTCTTACTCATCTTCTTATAAAATACATAGGGCGCTACAAAAGTTTTTTTCGCATGGTCTTGTAGAAGCGGTAATTTGAGGATATCTATTCTATTGTGATGCCTAAACATATTTAGAATTATGTGAAAAATTTCAGACTTCCATATATTACTCATATTTGTAATCTTTTTATTTCTTTTGGATCATCCTCACGTTATTCTTGATATGAGTTTTCAACTCTCACGTAAATAATTTCGCATTATGATTTTATATGATTGGAAAAATTAGCTTAACACACAGTCTTCAATTGGTTTAATGAATTACAGCGAAACAATGTAAATGTTAAAGATGCTGCCAGTTCAGGTCGCGCTTGAACATTTGTCAACGAACAATAATTGGCAATGATTCTCATTCAACATACCAACAAATACAGAACATCTTGTGCATTAGTGCCACAACAATCAATTCAATTATTCATGATCATTTAAAGCAACGCAAAATTTGCGCTTGGTAGGTGTCATATCAGTTAACTGATTGCCAAAAATAGTAGTGCATTCAATTCCGTCGTGTATTTGACATTATAACTAGTGATGAATCTTCGTTCTATTATTATGATCGAGAAGCAAAAGAGTAGTCAAAAGTTTGAATGTCAAAAATTGATCCATGTCCAACCAAACTTCATCGCAATAAAAGTTCTGGCAAAAGAATGGTGGCTATTCTCTTTATGAAATCTAGTTTAATCAAGTCGATACCGTTAGAAGTTAGTGTAACGCCAAATACAAGCTGGTATGTGAACATCCTCCATGTTCTCTACATCATAGTTCTTGCGACTTCTGCTTATTCTCAAAACTCAATCACATAGAATTGTCTGCGACGACAACGACAACGAAATATTAGCTGTCTTAGAACAAGTTATTAACAGCTTCGTAAAAAAAGATTCTAATAACTACTTCAAAGACTAGTTTGATCGCATGCGCGAGTATATCGATATTGAAAGACAATACTTCAAAAAAATACACTAGAATCAGCCTTTTAGTATTTGTTATATGAGCTGATAAAAAAACGTTTGTAGTGCCCTATGTTTTAATTAAATCATTCTATGAAATTTATGATGATTATATCTAGATCAATCAAACGTACATATGTTACGGTCCTCCTTCTAATCAAAGATCAGATGACATCTGGGTTTGGGATTGGCATTGGACCAAACCATCCAAGTTTCTATTTTGGTTTTATGCATTCGGTGCAATGGTATTTATTTTTTTCGGTACGCTATTTTTGAGAGAAGCAGTACCTTGGATAATACCCTGCAAAACTAATCGAGAAGAACAACATCAACAGGAACTGCAGACACCAATAAGGAATGACGAGCAACAAATGTGAATATGAGTGACGAACAAACATAATAAGCACACTTGCATATCACATTCTCAAGATCGTCGATGAGGGACGTTTGTTTTATACATTTTTTTGTTGTAAAATGCATTTATTTATTCATATTACTATATCTATTACTATCATGTGTGCGTTATTTTAATAAATAGAATTAATGTATTCTCAAGACAATAGTACATTATTTCAGAGCGGTCTAATCCCAACTACAATGCGCATTGGCTCTAACTGTTTTGATTGGAAGTGAGGGGTAGGTGGGTGCGGGTGTCTCTTCCTTATCGGCACCCACACCTAACATCTGCAGAAAACAACATTTGAAGTTTATCCCTCATTTTAACTTTCACAGTACTTTGACAAATTAATACATCCGTATTTTTATTTATGGCTCGAATTGTTCAGTCACACTCACTCCTCAGATGTCTCTAGTTATGGTTCTGTAAGATATAAATTTCGAAAAAACAACTAATAACTTCTAATTTCAATGTAAAAAAAAGGATAGTTTGTTCAATTTTATTAATTAAAAATAAAAGATTTTATTTTAAATAAGTGCATAGCTAGCCATTGTAGCAATACCGCATTGATTATTTTTATTTCTTGCAAATAACATATAACCATCCATTCCCCATTTTGTTGTCCATTGATTTTTAAGAATATAATAATCTTGATTATCTGTTGTTGTACCATATCCAACAGCCAAAAGCGAAAAATCTAATTGTGTTGATGAACAAGCACTTTCTGAATAAACCCCTGATGAATAAAATTCAAATGAATTTTGACTTGCATCAACTGCAACTGCAATTGGACCAATATTTGCAATGGCATCTTGAAGATCATCTTCTGATTGAGCTTGAATATCAACATAACTCTTGAGGAAGAAAAGAAGAATTTAATTCAACTATTATAAATGAAAATTGAACTTACAGCAACTTTTGTTGCAACAGTTTTAATATTAAATCGACACTTTCCGTCAATAGCTTCATAAGGATAACTTGCATTTGTATCAATTCCATTATTTTCTTCAAGATATTTATATGAATTATCCATCAGACCTCCATTACAACCAGCGTTTCCATAATCTGATGAACAATCAACAAGTTGTTGTTCAGATAAAGAAATAAGATTTTGTGTTTTTTTAGCAAGTTGTCCTTCAAGTGTACCCGTAGTTGAAAATGCCCAACATGCACCACATTGCCCTTGATTTTTCACCGGTGTCACATATCCTTTTGTCCGCCAATCTAAATCATCATACCAATGAAGAATTTATTTAGATGGAAATATATAAATTCTTTTACCAACAGATGGTGGTAGTTTTGTATTAGATCGAATATGAAATTTTTGATTTAGTTTCTTTTCCGGATTGATTTTTAATCCATTCATTTGTTTGAGAAATTCATCATGTGTCTAGAATTATTTTAAATAATATTAATTATGAATTTAGGGGAAAATATAAAGACGAACAAGATCACCAAAATGATTAATTTTCATTGTATATGTATGAAGACCTAAATCAGCTTCTAAATTATGTTTTTGAATCATTCGAACATTTGCTTCCCAAATATTTCGTCTAGAAAAAAAAACGAAAGAAATTTTCATTGTTAATTGAAGTTTATTATTTTTACCGAAGTTGTTCTTCGTTGATTGAATTATATTGTTTTTCATGAATATTTTTAAATAATTTCCATGCTCGATCTAATGATGATGTTCGAAGACTCAAACAAAAAGTGAGAAATAGTCCAAAAGTAACGAATAAAAAGAGTATATTCTTCATTTTGTTTTATTTTAACTAAATTTTGTAACGTCAATCTTGTTTTTAATACACAAATTTTCTTTTGTCATGTCGTATAAGAATGATAATGCATTTAGATAACGAATAATTTTACTTTTATAAAAACCTATGTCATTTCTTATCTCTTTTTCGTTTCTGCATTAAAATATAAACCAGTTTTCTAAATATACACATTCTTCGTCATATTATATTGTCTCATAGATCTGTTGTTGTTATGGAAAAAGACCAAAAAATGAGAAAAGCAAAAGGAAGACCTAATAACATTCTACACAAGATGTTATATTTGATGATGTCACTCTTATACTCATTTCACAAACATATCGAACTAATCATGAGTAAATTATATTAATAAATATATTGGGAATCAAATATCCATATATTGAGGGTATGGGCGTTGGTGTAAATCTAATAATTAACACACAATCATACCCACATCGCGAAGATATTCTGAAATTGAAGACTTACAATAAAATACTATAATAAAAGAAATCGACGATAATGATCATAATAATAAATAGATTCTTTTTTTTTAGAATTTAATTATATTTATCATGTGGATGTGAACTAATGTAATTATCGTCACCCACAACCTCAAGAAAATATTTGTCTTGACGAACAAAAGATTAGTTGTTATCAGTCGAAATAAAATGAATTATATCGATAGAATCGTTAACAGAAAATAATTTAGTTTGTTTGAAGTGATATATAGCCTATGATGATTTAGATGTGTTAGAGAAATATGTTTATTTTGTCTATTTCTTGGTTTCATTGTTTAACGTGTTCATTAAACATGCTCTTTATTTAATTACAAAATTGTCGACTAATTTTTGCAGATCCATTACTTCCGCGCGCGTGACATAAAAAAATTGTCCTGCAAGTATTTATTTATTTGTGATGTTTCAAAGTAATTTAAAAACTTTTTTTAATTTCAGCGTTGCTTGCATCTCAGTGCTGCCAACATATAGAAAGATAGCACTCAAGCATAAAAACATCTTCACATCTAATGCATTTATTGTCAGTAACAATTTCCATCAGTTTGAAAACAGAAGTGGAAGAAGTTCGATTAAAAAATAAAAGAAAACTTTTAACATCCTTGTTAATGTGGGTGTTCAATGATAATGGATAGTTTCAATTCTAATATATTTTAAGTGTATCAATCATAGACAAAAAAAAGAACACGTCACGTTCATTAATGTACTAATTCATTTCACTGCGCATTTAAGAAAAATTACCCATTAGTTTGACGATATTTAGTTGACAACAATGATGCGTTCAATTTGCTTGCTGATTCTAACAACAACTGTTATCAATACTACTTGTACAACACGTATTGGACGTATTTATAATGCAATGTATGTCTCTAACGATACGAGCATAGTTATGACATACGAAAATACATGTTCCGAATGTATTTGTTATGCATTCTTCTCTGATATATATTCATTGTATATGGGATTGAATTGCTATACAAATAATCAAACGTGTCATTTATTTGCCAATTTCTCTTCGACATCATTAGTAGAAGATATTAACTCAACGTTTATATTTATTCAGCTGCCAACATTCGAAAGTATAATAACAGGTAATTAAACGTCTCTTATATTTCGAAAGTTATAGTATATAGTATTGAGGATGTGGGTGTGAATGAAGGTATCAGTGAAAAAGAAATATCTACACCCACATTCACTTTGGATAGTTTTGGACGAACTACTTTGAAAAATACCTAATCATTGAGGAGACGAGTTCAGTTGCTGAATTCTCGTGTTGTGTACAGAATCGGTCGGACCCGAACAGAGTGCCTATTGTATACAGATCACCGTATTCTTATCGAAAGAAAAAAACATTTATTTAATGATAGCGAGGTAAAAAGAGCAGAAGTTTTTTCTCAAAGACGAAGATAAATTAGCTGAATAGAAAAGCATTTCTTTCTAATGGTCTAATCTGATTGGCTAGGCAGGAGTTTTAACCATGTTATGTTACCCTATTTTTTAGTGCCTTCAACGGAAACAACGATTTCATCAACAACAACGATAACGATATCTTCATCAACAACAATAACAACTACAACATCATCATCATCATCATCATCAACAACAACAACAACATCATCATCATCGACAACAACAACAACATCATCATCATCGACAACAACAACAACAACAACGACACTAAACCGTAAGTGATCGACTGAATGATGATTACGTTTCACAGATGTTCAACAGAGGATGGCTTTTGCAAGATGTAAAAGATTTTTTTTTCTAAAGTTTGAAGTATCTTAAACCCAAGGAACTTTAACAAATTAAATTCAGAAAAACGTCCTAAAAATGATGAAAATCTTGAGAGTAGGTGTGAGTAACCGAGAAACACAACACTTTATACCTAGCTACCCACATCTTTTGCATATGTTTAAAAAAAACTTCTATTTTACAATAGCACAAAACAACATGACATTTACGGCGCAAAAACCAATTTCCTGTCCTGGAGGTCCGTGGAGTGTGGTTGTTCGTGATGTTAATAACGACAGCACACCGGATATTATTATCGCAAACATTGATAATAACACTATCCTTATACTCTTTAACTCGGGCAACGGCACATTCCCTGTACAAAAAACTTACTCAACTGGCGCCAACCCTTATAGCGTGGTAGTTATTGATATTAATAATGATAGCAAGCCCGACATTATTTACTCAAACAGTGGAGGTGACAGCATTGGTTTTCTCCTTAACAAGGGTAACGGCTCATTTGGTCTACAAACAACTTATTCAACTGGTTTGGATTCGCAGCCCCGTGGTGTGTCAGTTATTGATATCAATAATGATAACAAACCCGACATCGTTGTCGCACTTTTTTTTTTCTGACACCGTCGCTGTTTTCCTCAGTAAAGGCAACGGGACATTTGCTACACTAAAAACATATCCAACGGGTGCCTACCCGTATGGTTTATCAGTTGCTGATGTTAATAATGACAACAAACCCGACATTGTTGTTGGAATCTATTTTGATGACATGGTTGGAGTTCTGCTCAACAAAGGCAACGGTACATATACTGCACAAACAAGTTATCCAGCTGGTATCAATCCCCGCGATGTGAAAGTGATTGATGTCAACGGCGATAACAAATCCGATATTATTGTCGCAAACAATGGTAGCAATACCGTCGGTGTTTTCCTCAATAAAGGTAACGGCACATTTGCTGCACAAATAAGTTACTCAACTGGCTTTATGCCGTACAGCGTCTCAGTAGTTGATATTAATGGTGACAGTAAACCCGATATTATTGTCCCAAATTATGGTGATAATAATGTCGGTGTTCTTCTCAACATAGGCAACGGCACATTTGCAGCACAAATAACTTACTTAACTGGCACCGGTCCTCGCGGTGTAGCCGTTTTTGATGTCAATGCTGACAGTAGACCTGACATTATTGTTACAAACTATGACAATAAAACCGTCAGTGTTCTCTTGTCTTAATGAAACAGTTTCACAAACTTAATTCTTGTTTCTTTGATCAAAGACAGAATCAAATAAAATAAAATAATTTCCTTTCTTGTCGTCGGATCATATGTCAAAGGACAAGAAGCAACATTTATCTAAAGATTTTTAGGTTCTAGAAATTCGAATCTATCATTTGTTTTTTTTGCAAAGAATATCTACGAGATAGAAAGTGATTTCCTCAATTGAAGGAAGAGTCATATACAGAGAATTAACATATTTGTCACGGATCGGCTATGGATGCGAGTGATATGAAGATAATATAATTATATTGAAGACGAGATATGATCGATGATGCTTTACACAGTGAGCTTCGAGTATTGAATCTTAGCTATCAAAAAAGATCGTCTGCTGATTTGAAGGGTATGGGTGTAGATACGATATAAATATAATACGCTCACCCACACTCTAAAATAAAATATTTCATTAAACCTATATGTACTTAGCTAAATAAATCAATATGCTGGATTTTTTTACATAAAACAGCGAAGTACTCTATATGAAACGACAACTATTCATTGTGGTATTCAGATTGAACCAGGAGTATAACTTATCTATACTTAAAATTCCTGAGTTTTTACAATCTTTTCTATTTTGATTACTTTGTGTATCTCATGAAATAACTAAATAGAAGAGTGCCTCATTTAAAACTAGAATGCATAGGATTAAACGATATTCTGTATTAATATTAAAAATGTTTCAACTTTTACTTTAGTAAATTAACAGATCGACACATTTGAAAAAGTTCAGATTTGTGACTTTCAATTTATTTATTAGTGCAATCTAATTCTACAATGGTTGATAGGAAATGAAAAAAAAAGACCGATAAGTTCTGTTTACCATGCAATACGCGCTACAAAACTACGTGGACGTTTGCGTATATACAATTTTCGTAATTCATCAATAATTAACCAGAGCATACCGAAACCAAGTGTTGGCATGATATATTTCGGTGGTACTCTACCGGTACCTAAAATACGATTAAACCAACTGATCTGTGTAAAAAATAATTGAATAGCAATGGATATGATCATAGCACCGAAAACATATAAATTTTGACCTTTACCCCAAAGTGGATTATGTTGAAGAATCGATGCATATCGAGTACGTGTTGCAAAAAAATTAAAAAATTGAAAAAGACACATCGAGCAATAGTAAACAGATTGTGCTACATTATTCATCGATTGTAATTCGTCCGTTGTATAGGGAGTAGTGCCATTAAGGCCGAAGTTTTCATAAGTAAGTAAGAAAGATTGGAGCGGTACACCGTTATCAATCCAATAATAACAAAAGCAAAAGAAAGCTGTAAAACATTCGACATTTCCAACAAATAAATAAGCATGAATAAGAAGTTTTGTATTAAGTAGATGATCTTTTCCACGAATTGATGGTGGTCGAGACATAATATCACGTTCAGGCTTTTCTGTTACTACTGCTAATGACATAACCACATCTAAATAAGAAAAAATATCAAATGAAGATATTAAATAATATGAAAGTACTGATTGACTATACCGTTGAGCATACAGAAAACTGTTGCCCACAATGCAGACAAAGCTAATGGCATACCAAACCATAAATTAAAAAAAACGGGCCAAACTTGAGACCAAGAACCTAAGGAATAACCAAACAATTACTATAAAAAATTCGTTAAAAGATCTTTACCTCCAGGCAATAGATAAATAGCTACTTTCTTCAAATTATCACTTAATAAACGACCTGTTTCAATAGCTTGTATAATCGATGAAAAATTATTATCGAGTAAGATCACATCACCAGCTTCTTTCGATACTTCTGTACCTGATTGCATGGCTATACCAATATGAGCACATTTAAGTGCTGGTGCATCACTAGCTCCATCACCTGTAACAGCGATAATTTCAGCACGTCGTTGAAATTCTGAAACAATATGCAATTTTTGTTCGGGTGTTACTCTTGCAAAGACCAATTCTTGATGAGATAAAACCCAATCCCATAGAAAATCATCCATAAAACCAATATCTGCTCCGGCAACCTATTATTAATAAAAACTTGTGATGTAAATCAAAAAGATAAGAAAGACTTACTACAATTCCATAGGGAATATATTCCATTTTAGTCGTTTGTGGAAGATTTGATTTCGGTTCACTAACCTGGTTTCGGCACGATGACCAAGCTCGTTTGTACCAAGGTAGTTTTTGATCAGATTGAGTCTCATCAACATTAATCGGATCCTGACTATGTTTTTTGTTCTGATCTGGTCGTGTCAATTGATTAGGAATATGCCGATCGCATAATTGTTCATTTCGATACATATTAACAGCTGTTTGACCATTGTCATCTTTTTCAACTTTTAACGTATCCAAACCGTTTATTTCCGATATTTCTGGTGTTAAAATATGAACTTGTTTTGCAATCGCTTTAGCTAAAGCTGGATGATCACCGGTAATCATGGCTACACGAATTTGAGCACGACGAGCTTTGAGAACAGCATCAGGCACTTCCGATCGAGGTGGGTCAAGTAACGCGAAAAGACCAATAAAACAATAATCATTCGATGGAAATCCATTCAGATCTTCGATGTTGGTCAATAATCGTGAACGTTGTTCTTCTTTGTATTGTTCCATCATTCGATTGTATTTTTCTCGAGTGAATCTTTGTTGACACATAGCGATGACACGATAACCATCTTTCCCTTGAAATATTTAATTTTACAGAAGAAATTTTTTCAATTATATTGCTATTTTATTTATCTCACCTAGTTCTTCTTGTCGATGAGATAATGCTTGTTTCATTTCGGTCGTCAATGGTAAAATTTCATCATTATCGGTTTTATATGATGAACAACGTTGAATGACAATATCCGACGCACCTTTCATTATAATCAAAACGGTACGATCACCTTCTAATACTGCCGGATCATTTGATTCAATTAGATTAGCGGATATCATGAATTTATTTGATGAATTGAATGGTAAAACTTTCAAACGAGAATTAACTTGACGTACAGCATCCATATCGACATAACATTGATCAACACATGCATTGTAAAGTGCTGTATCAACTTCATTACCTGCCAGACGCATTTTGGATTTCATTTTCGATAGATTTTCTTCAAGTGAATCGTCATGTACAATCTGTTTCTCAGCGTTACTACATAGACAGGCACCGAGAAGAAGATCACGAAATGCTTGAATTTTAATTTCACTAGCAATGTTCGGAATCTTGTTCTTTTCATTATCATCATCTAACGATGGCATACGATGTGATGTATTCAAACTACCACTAGAAAGTCTTCGCACAACCGAAACGGCGTCCGTTGATAGACTACGAGCTGTCTTAAACACTCCACTTGATACACGGCTAATCGTTTGAAAAAGAGTTTCAGTTGGAGCTGGTTCAGATTCTGGTATAGGTACTTTATATATACCATGTATATCCCATAAGAAATGAGTAACTGTCATCTTATTTTGGGTTAATGTGCCTGTTTTGCCAGTAGCAACCACTGAGATAGAGTTAAAAATTTCCATTGTTTGTAAGCTTTTTACAATGACTCGTTGTCGATACATTTTTTTAGCCACAAATGTCAATACTAAAGTTTAAAAAATCGAAATGCAAATTTTTTATAGCACACTGGAAAGTGTCTCATCTATATTATAAAATGCTTATTTATTACTTACCGAGAGTTACAGCCGATGGCAAACCTAGAGGTAGAAATCCGACTGTCATGCCAATAGAATTGATAATATTTGCATTATAGAGAATAAAAGTATGATGAACTCGATTGAGCCATGCTGCCCAAGTGATCCACAAAATGATAATAGAGATAATAGTAGCGACAAAAATAAATAAAACAAAACGATTGACTTCACGATGTAGATTCGTAATATCATCACTCGATTTGTCGCGTGATAATCGTGATATTTTACCGACAACAGTATTGTCACCAGTAGCAATGATCAACGCTTCACCAGTGCCTTGTTCGACTATTGACGAATAAAATCCAATATTAGTTGATTCCATAAAATTTTCACTCGTACATTGAACTGTTGATATAACAGGTTTCGAGTTACCTGTTATTTCTGATATATTGATCTAGATTTTTTGTTCAAAATGAAAAGATAATTTATTGTAAAATATTTACTTTCAATTCATCACATCTCAAAAATCGACAATCAGCTGGTATTTTTTCACCCGTATGAAGAAGAATAATATCACCTGGTACAATTTGTTCAGTCACTATTTGTTGTTCTTTATCATCACGTCGAACTGTTACAATTGTTGGTAATAAATTGGAAAATGATGCCACAATTTTATATGATTTTATTTGTTGATAAACATTTAAAACCGAATTAAAAATGATAACTAAGAAAAGTACGACACCAAGTGCTAAATTAGTTATCGATGGATTTGGTTCACCAAATGGTTTATAAGCTAAAAAAGTAAGAATACAGGCAATCCAAAGAATAATATTAAAACCAATGAATAATTCTTTGACAAGTAACCATAAATAGCTTGGTGATTTAGGTGGAGTAATTTTATTCGTTCCATATTGAACTTGTGCATCGATAACAGAAGCAGTTGATAAACCATCGTGTTGATTTGTATGAAAACGTTGATAAAGGTCATCAAGAGGAATTATATGTACATCTTGTTCAAGATTAGATCTGTCGATAGTAGCCCATAGATCAACAGTCGAATCTTTTCGTTCACTTGATAATTTAGAAATGTCGAGATTATTTCTGGAAGAGAATTTTTTCTCTTCGATTTCAACACCGTAATTATCCATAGTTGAATTCTTCTAATACACGAACTCAATGTTCAAACATAACTTTTCACGGTGGTTCGCTACCTGAAATAGAATTATAAAATTTGTATAATGAAAACTGTTTAAAAAAATTACAATCACCATCAACAAGAAATACCCTATATTCTTGTATATTCGTAAATTCATTCAAATATAAATAAGAGCTGAAAGGTAAGGATTTTGATGAAGGATGCATGACTGCCCATTTCTCGTGATATTATTCAGATACTCATCTTTTCATTACATATGTACATGACAAGAAATAAATCAGAAATGTCTACCTGTATATACGCACATGTGATACTTGTCAAAATATTTTTTTATCACTCGATAGTTATATTTGATCAATACACATTAAAAAGTCTCTATACCTGGATGATGAGAAGGCAAACTATTATAAAATAGTTGAAAATATTTCATAATTATTGATATTGATTATCAAATTAAAAGTACCAGGATAAAATACTAAATAATCTACAAAAACGTTTTATTAAGATCTGAATGTTTGTGACAACTGACTTATTCTGTTTTTGTTCTATATTTGTAATGAAGGCTTTTTGTTTTTGTCGTCTATATGTTAATCTGATTGAGAATGACGTTTGCTACCTAGACGTGATGTATGAATTATTTGTTCATCGATATTTTTTTTTAATATGTACAATTAATGCTTTTATTTAGGAAGAGAAGACAATACTTGAGAAAGAAAAAAAAAACATAGAACGAATACAATCTATTATGTTTCTGATTCTTATATTGTATTGAAACGAGAATCAAATTGACAAACAAATTTTATTTGTAATTGATTTAAATTTAATTCATTATCATAGTTACACCATCTTTGTCAGAAATAATTTACTTTGGAATTAATGCACAATACACCATATTTCCAATTTCGATTATATGGACGAACACGATGATACGAAGATCTTTGTAGTTTTTTTTTATCAAAATTAAATTTGTTTTTAATTGAACTTAAATAAAAAGTGATTCAATTTCAATTGGTTTAAATCAAAATGAATGATCGACAATGAAAAATATAAGTAACTATATTTTATGATACATCATGTAAAAATACTGTTCAATTTTTATTTCGTTTTTCTTCTTTATCTTTTTTTATATTAAATATCAAAATGTTGAGTTTTGATGTGTGTCTTTATCTTATCGATAGTCATTTCAATCAACTTCATATAGAATACATTGATTGACTAACATTCACTGAATATCAAATTTAGAGAAACTTGAGGGTATGAGTGTACATGTGAATATCAATTCTACTCTTATACCCACACCCACCCTAAAATTGTCTTCATCATGGAATTCATTATTAATTTTAGAAGTTGATTTTTTTATCAATCAATTCAGTATTACCATCATGATTGTGTGTATAATCATTTTTATTACTTTCTTATTGTATTTCAAGGTGACTAAATTAATAAAATTTCGATAATATTATGTGCTTTTGTCATGTTCTTATATATTCTCTTTCTCGTAGAGAAGGGTCCAGTAAACATAGATTGCTTGATTGCTTGTCTGTCCGCAGGGTCAAAAAAACATCGAAAATCGATTTTCTAGAAAAGACATTTCCAGAGGTATTTCGACGCAGGGACTTCGAATCTGATGTTAATTTTTAAATGTTTTTTAAAAAAAGCATTTTTTTAGACAAACGACCATTTTATTACAAAAAAAAAATTTTTGATATAAAATTTGACGAAATGGTTTTTAAGTTCGGGGAACACGAATCTGATGTTAGTGTTTGCAAGTTATACAAGCAAAAGGTCCCGTAGCATTGTAGAACACCATTTCTACGAGAAAGAGCTAAGCGAGTTCTTAGACGAGCGTTACTTGTATAATATCATGCGAAAAATAACAAGTTGGAATTTGAATTAAAATATTTATATATATATCGTATTTCAATGAAACTTCAAAATTTTTCTTAAGACATTATGTAGTACTTATAGACTAGAAAAATTACCGAAATCTAAGGTAGATACTTGAAAAAATTCCTTATTAGTTTACTATAAAAGATTCGCAATAAAAAAAATTATTTTCGTCCGTGGATTTATTTAAAATTGAAAGCAAATAAAGCCAAAATGTCTTTAAAATAAACAAAATACGAAGTAAATTGCTAGGTTAATTATGAGAGTAGAATAATAAAATATAATTTATCATGTTAACTCATATTTTCACTATTGCTATCCACTAATGAAATTAATAGGTCCTTCACCACTTGCAATAATGGAGAATATATCTGTTATATTAAGCCAATACGTTGTAGTTATTAAAATATATTTTGTTGCATTGTTAATGTATTGTTTAAAACAATATCGACCATTAACATCATCATTATCATCAGATCATTAAAATTATTATAGTAAATATATCCACTTATATTCACAATGATTAAGTTAATATGAAATCAGAAACTACCAATTCTATTCTTTAGATCAATTTTAATTTTCTTTGAATCTTCTCCTTGGCCAACACGGTGAGACATTTCACAAAGAGCACAATCCAAAGTATGATTACTAGATCTTGCATAGTAGTCGAGTATGTTCTGGAAATTGTCGGAGACAGGTTCTTTTCGCCATTGATGATAACTTTCATATAATGTTTTGTTTTTTGCAACACTTTTTATAAATATAGCTGCATCTTTTGGTGTTTCGAATTTTCTCAAATCGATTATACAATCTGTTCGACATGGTAACCAATCGTAAAAATTTGGAGCTCCAAGATAAATAGGTATACTTCCAGCTGCTAACGAATGCCATAATTTTTCTGATATATAATCATAAGTTAGACTATTCTCAATCGCGATAGTAAATAAATAATCTCTCGATAATGCTAGTTTTCCTGCTTCCCACTTATAAGTAGCAATATGTTTCAAAGTTCGATTTCGAGAGCCTTGAATTTTGACGATGTGCTCTGGTAACTGCCGAATCTTCTCTCCACAATTGCCGTAGTTATCGACATCAATATATTTCATCAACTTCTTCATGTATTGGGTACGCCGTGATTTTGCATTACAATTACTGTTCATCCACATAATTGGTGCTCTAATATATGATGTATTAATCGTTTTGTTTTGTCTGATGGATTTCTGATAAATTAAAAATACTAGAACTAATTCATTTGTTACTTCATATCGTTTCTCGACAATTCACTTACCATTAATAAATTAGTCCAATAAACATCTGACATATTAACAGAATGAATCAGTTTTTTACTGCTCATTGTTTCTTGAAATGATAATCTTTGTGAAGTGAACTTCAGTTGTTCAACATACGAGAAAAGATGAGGACGTGGAGGAAAATCATAAATTGATCGATCATAACCAAAAGTTACATCAAACAATTTTAATTTGTCACGATCAGCCATCCACGGATAATAAATAATAGGTTCATAATTGAATTCGAATCCCCACATACTACTACAACTTCGATATTGATTATTTAAGACACTTATGTATGCATAGCTTGAAAATGGTAAGTCAGGATCAGCAATGAGCGATGGATAGGAATATTTTTCAGATTTACTAAGAAATAAATCCAATGAAAAGCCACGTTTACATTCGAAATATGCTTGATTTTGTCTATTATAGCTACATTTAACATCTTCTAATGTTGTACGTGATGAGTATATCACATGACATGGTAAACGAGCATAATTATTCATTCTATACTGTTGATACAAAGCCTTAGCTAGGAATTGTAATTCAACTGGTATGTCACACCATAGTGTCTCATCTTTCTTTAACGACTTGAGTTCTTGTTCGATAATTTGACGCCATTTATACAGATCAAATATATATTTTATTGATTGATTGTCTTCACGTTTCATCGACTCACAAAAATAGGTTTTTCGTCTGATAAAATTATACCAAATAAAATATATAGATATAATTAAAACCATCAAACTAATAAGACACATAATTTTGAGAAACAATTTTCTTGATCTTCTTTTATGATATCTCATATTTATGTGTCAAATAATCTGAAAAACTGAGAAGAGAAACGTAAATAATCGAATAAAAATTAATCGATTCGATACTGTAACGACAAACGTGTACTATACACCAACTGACCTTTATTTTACTTATTTCTCTTCTTTTTTATATCAATAGCTTGACTACGCTTCATCACATAATCAACGGGAGACGAACACGAACATAGTACATATTATATGAACATTTAAAATGATAGATAGAGAACATATGGGACAATCGAGGGATCATTCACATTAACATGTGGAGATATTTATACACTGATCTAATCGTTGATAGATATTATATACATTAATGTCATAATATAAATTAAAGTGTTTATATCTTAAATGTTTTTCTTCTATCATTCATTTGATCAGAAGATCTGTTGCATAGAATTATAAATAATCGAAATTTAAAACTGAAGATAAGTAGTGGTGTATGAACGACTAAAAGTAGAGATAGAAAGTATATTTTTTTTGTCAAGTTATTTCATTCTTCCTGTATTCTCGCTCTCTAGCACAATGAAAAATGACTATATTTATTTGATTTTTAAGAATTCTTCTTAGAAATATTGATTAATTTACAAAGTTAACTCATTTGATATACTTCTATTAACGAACTGATGATCGATTCGTATATCTAATTACATATTATTATAATGAAATATGTTCATTACAGTTGTCATGTGATAATGTTTATAAATATGCTTTAATTATTTTCCTGTTTAAAATGAAGAATCTCATTATTGTTTCTTTTTCCTGAATATATTTGAAGAGTCTGGTTCTTCCATGCAGAATATCATAAATCATAAAACATGACAATATATTTTGTAGGTTTATTATTGCCCTAGAAAAAAACTTTAAAAAATATCTCCATATATGGAAGTTGAAGTCTGATTATTACAAAATAAATTAATCAATATTAAAATGATACAGATAGCTCATCATTTGTATTTTTCAATAAACTGAGAAGATAATACATCAATATCGATTGATAATATTCTATAAAGTAAAGAGTTATTTGTATGTGTTCATAAATGTTTTTCTATTAATATATGTTTGTTTATGAATAAAAATATAAAACTTGATCAAATACTTGTGTAAGTAGTCACAAGAGTTCTAGAAAAAAAATGAGAAACACAAAAAAAAGAAAACATAATTATTTTTATTATTTTATTTGTTCGGGTAAGTTGTTAAGAAAACTAGATCAATTGCAACCAGAATTCATCTATTATCAAATATTTGTAAATATTTATTCGCTCTAAATAAAATATTCTTATGGGTCTTTTTGATCTATTTCTAACATGTTAAACTTGAGCTTTTCAAACTTCATAAACAAAATGAGAATTTTATATTGTTTTATTTTAAAAAATCTATCTTCTAGAAAATATTGTCATGTTTATACAATTACTGTTGCAATCATTTTATAAAATTGTTCGTAATAAATGGAATACAGGAAATATTTTTGAGTCTCGATCATCAGATCCATTAATTATTCGTCGTGAAATCTTATCAACTCGTCTTTATATTGTTCTTTTTGTTATCTCTCTTATTATTTTAACAACATATTCTTCATTAAGTAATCGAGTTGAAAATAAAACTGTAATATTACCAACTCAATCTATTTATGAAAATCTTCAAAATAAATATGCGAATAGTTTACAATGTTCCTGTACGAAAATCTCGATTCCGTATGGAGATTTTGTTGAAATAGTTCCATTATTTCATCAAGTATGTTCAAGTGATTTTATTTCTCAACAATGGATCAATTTCATATTTCAAGCAAATTCAACATTTATTTGGCCAATAGATGTACGAACAAGTTTGAGTGCAATGTGGCAATTAATACGAGCATTTTGTCAAAGTTCAATAAACATAACTACAGATGCACTTAATCAATTTGATAATTCTCTATTATCTAACACAATGTTATTAACTGAAGAATTGTTAGAAGCAAAAGTTCAAGCTGCTCTTTATTTATTACGTCAAACAGCATCATCTACTCTAACACAATCAATGACAATAGTTCATAAAGTCACACAAGCAAATCAATTAGTAACAGGATTATTAACAAATTATGTTGCTGTAACAGAAAACTTTGGATTGTCACAACATTCTAATATTAAAGTCAATATTGGTTATATGAATATATCTCTTTATACGGGAATATTTGGAAATAAATATATATTAGAAAATTCCACATTAGTTTGTTCTTGTCAAAATAATGGTTCATGTCCTTTACCTGGAAATCTTTATTTATATAAAACTTTTGAAACTTTTGGAACTTATGATTTAAATAAAATTCAAGCAAATGAAACATTATCTGGTATAATAATTGATTGTTTACCATATCAAATGACACTCTCATCATCATTAGAATGTTTTTATAATCAATCATGTTTAAATATTATTTTATCATCCTATACAAATCCATTGAATATTTCAATTCTTAATCAATCTTTATCAAGTCGTTTTCTTTCAACAACAAAAATTGAATTACTTATCAATGAACTTTTTCTTGAAAAAATATTTAATCAAACAAACTATACAGAATATTATTCACAATGTTTACCCAATATTTGTCAATATATTTATATAGATCGTTTTAACTGGATTTATGTTCTTACAATTTTTATTGGTCTTCTTGGAGGAATAACAACTGTATTACATATAATTACTCCATATATTATTCGATTAATTTTATGTATTAAAAAACGATGTGTTTTAAAAAAAAAATGAACAAGTTAGACAAAAAACTTCAGGTAAGATTTAAACAGAAAAAAAAGGATAAAATATTTAGCGACTATAATTTTAGTTCGACCAAAAGAATTGTTTTTAAAAGTCAAAGCTAAAATCATGACTCTTAATTTATATAGTAAATATTCTCGTGATCCAATACGTGTTTATCATGGTGTTTTAGCAACACGATTATATATTATTTTATTATTAATTTCAATATATCTGATTATTTTCCTTTCATATTCCTCAAATCAAATATTTAATGGAACCATTATAAATCCATCTGAACAAGAATATGAAAAATTAGAAAAAAACTATCCATCAACATTAACATGTCCATGTACTCAAATATCTATACCTTATAAAGATTTAATCACAATTGAAGTCAAATATCATCAGATATGTACAAGTGATTTTATTCAACCGTGGTGGTATCAAAGTTTTTTTCCTTATTATACTTCTGATGATGATAAAACTGATTTTTTAACATTTGCTCCATCATATTTTCAAACATTAGAAACATTTTGTGAGATTGCTAAAATAATAATTAATAATGAAATTAGTCGATTTTTAACAACAACATTTGTTCATGGTCAAATTTTAAGAAATGATTTATTTTATTCACAAATAAATTCAGCAATAAATACATTTATTCAATTAACAAAAAATGAATATATTTATCGAATGTCTGTAACTAATGCATTACTCCATAGTAATCAATATTTTAGTCATATGATAGCAAGTACTGATCTTGGCGTAGTATTATGGTCCTGGTCAAATGGAGCATACACTATAGAGATCAGAGCAGAAGCTATGTATACTCTCGATGCAAGCGGTGATAAATGTTATTGTGTTCTTGATTCAACATGTGATATAGATAATAATATTTTTACAGGTACCGGAATTTCCTGGCCAGTTAATTGGGAACTTGATGGTATACAAGGCGGTTGTTCGGTTATGGATTCTGTATTAAAATCATCATTGATCTGCTGGTTTGAAAACACTTGTTTAAATCAATTACGAATACTTGTTAATACAGCAAAACTTCCAACACTTCCTTCTATAACTCCACTTAATTCAACATTATCTAGTCAATATTTTCCAAATACATCAATTGAAAAAATTTTTAATGAAATTATGATTGAAGAATGGAATTTTTCTTCGCCATATTCAATTTATTATCAAAAATGTAAACCTTCATCTTGTTCATTTACTTATGAAAAAAGGACTGGTGTTATTTATATAACTACTATCATAATTAGTCTTATTGGTGGAATTAATGTTATTCTTCGATTACTTTCTCCATTGATTATTAAAATTATTTTTAAATTTATTCATAGATTCAAACCCATACATTCATCACAAATCTCAACTATACAACAAGAAAATCATCGTAAGTTATTGATGGGTGTGGGTAAAGAAAATATGAATCAGTAGGGAACTGCAAAGTGCTCCCGGAATCAAGAATTAAGAATTGACAAATGTGTTATTTTATAGTTCAAGAAAAATCGTATAGACTGAGTTTACAATCGAAAAAGCGAGAGGTTTCGTGAACTTCATATTCTTTTGCATAGATGAAGACAACATCAGAATTATTCTTAAGGTTTTATTAAGACCGGGACCAACAAAAGTGATTTTCCAGTAGAGATGTGCAGGGTACGGTAGGGTTAAGGCGTTTTTTTTAACTAAATATATCACTATGGAACGGCATCTTTCTCTTGCATATATTAATCTTTTTTAAGATAGAAACGCACAAATATACTAGATAAAAGAAAAACAAATTAAAAGACAGATCACAATATAATTGCCTGTTTATATACTTTCTCGCACAAAAATTCCTTTATTCATTATTTATAATACTAAATTTGTTTTTTGAAAAATCAAATATTTTTGTCTGTATGAATATGTCAACAGAATCTCCTCGACCTCACATTAAACAAAAAAAAAGAAGGAACTTCAATCACAACAGAAGAGCGAAAGAGTTTTCGGTGCTAGTGGTCGAATATTAGAAGAAAGAAGACAAAATTTAAACGAAGATGCTGTGAACGATTTTTTGTTATTAAGAAATTTGAGAAAATGTATTGAATAGTCAAAAGTTATTATTATTTGGAAATAAAATGAAAAAAGTTATTTATCATACGTACTCATTCTTTGATTAAAAAATTTCAATTAGTAGGGTAGGGTAGGGTCAGGGTATAAAAAATGCTTACCTTGCACATCTCTATTTTGCAGTTCCCTAATGAATTCACACTCTCAAGAAATTTGAAACTATATTTTATTTTCTTTAGAAAACGTTGGAATTTGTAGTCGTATAAGAAATCGAATGGTTCAATTAATAGACAAATTTTTAACGATGAATTTATTCAATAGTGAATCAGATAATATTGAAACAGTTCGTCTTGAACGAATAACAACAAAACTCTATTTATCAATTTTTTCAATTTGTATATATAGTATAACGATATATCTACTATTTTCGGATATAACTATAAATCAATCTTTTACAAATCCTTCTGAAAATGATTATAACAAATTATTAATAGCTCATTCAAAATCACTTGATTGTCCTTGTAATAAAATATCAATTACATACAAAGATTTTATAGAAATCAATACAACATTTCATCAAATATGTTCAAGTGATTTTGTTAATATAAAATGGATTAATTATTTATTTGGTCGAGGAGATTGGGAAGCTTATAATCGACGTGATATTCGTGTACGTGGTAGTGCATATTTTTTATTTCTTTCAAATTTATGTCAAATTTCTCAGACGACAATTAATAATGCAATTGAACAATTTCTTAATGAAATTTTTATCAATACGCAATTAATATCAGAATCTGAATATAATATTCAAATTGACAATATTATTTCACAATTTCAAAACGAAACTTTGACAAAATTTTCTCGAAGTTTAAAACTTCTACGCGATATAATGAATGGAAATGCTTTTGTATCTTCATATTTTTTAAATTGGTATTGGTGGAGAGACATAAATAGTACTTTTACAATAATTCCAACAATTCCAATAATAATGACAAATGGATGTTCATGTGGAACACAAAGTGATTGTATTGATTCAGGAGGAATTTATTATGATACAACTAGTCGTCAAGCATTTACAATGCCTGGATTGTATATTGGATGTTCAGTTGTAGAAACATTATTATATTCAACATTTGAATGTTTATATAATCAAGCATGTATTGATTCATTATTAAATTATATCACAACTGTTTCAGCTCGATATGATTATCGAATGAATATATTAGCTCTTAATTCTTCGATTGTAAGTCGTTTTAAAACAAATACATTGATTCAAATTATAGCAGATGAATTATTTATTGAAGAATGGAAAATCAATAGTTCTTATTCATTATTTTATAATCAATGTGCTCCTGCTTATTGTTCGTATCAAACTCGCAAAGATGATTATGCTATTTATATTATATCGAAAATTTTAGGTTTATATGGAGGATTAACTGTTTCTTTACGATTTATTATTCCACTTATAACTAAAATAATATTTAATATTATCAAACGATGTCGAAATAATATAATTATTCCTAATGAATAATTATTTATTCGATAAAGTATATCAATACTTATACAAACAACCTTCGCTTGGTATTTGATTTTTTTGCAGCATTGTTGAAATAATCTCGAAAATTTTATTCGCTTTGATGTTGTTATGTGCAGTTTCTTTATAAATAAATGAAGAATATTGATAAAATGTTTTGATTTGCAGATGTTGTTTAAATTGTTGTTCCATTTTTTTCTCGAATAATAATACTGTGAGGGTGTGGGTGTAAATGAAGGAGAGATACTCATATTCATACTCACGCCTACCCACAACAGACTTGGAACCGGTCCAGTTTTCTCTACCCGGACTGGACCGGCCGGTCTATATTTGTAATTGGACCGGTAAAAACCGGTAATTTTTAGGGTATAATCTGATGGATAAAATTTAATATATATATGTATTATTCCAGATTTAACGTACACAAACTCAACTAATACTGTATAAGTTCAATATACTTATTATTATGCAAAAAAGAATTTTCAGTCAAATATAACAGAATAGCATACGTTATATTGTGGAGTTAGATATTATGGTATTAATAAGAATGAGTGCTATCATCTGGCGTAAATCACTGTCGAGTATAAATGATAATAACATATGATTAGTAGAACTCCAAGAAAAAGACATCACCCGTAAAAAATCTCAGACATTTTTAGGCAAAATATTTCCAAAAACTGAAGTAGTTAAGAAATAATAGTTGCAATTCTCTCATATATTACAATTTTATTGTAATTTCTTCTTAGTTAAGTAATAGTCAAAGAAAAAAATGACAAAAAATGAAAAGTCATTTCGGCACTTAAATTAAGCATCTAAATGTATTACTGATTTGTAAACCAATTTCATAAATATTTTTGTAGTAATCTGATAAGGAAGAAAATATGTGTCAAAATGTCGTTAAATACAACGATCGAATACAAAAGGGAGAGTTAAACAATACTCAGATCAAATAAATATAATGGTTGTCATAAAAACCACATAATAAGAAACACTACACATAAGCAATAAGAAACTACAGACAGACTAGATATCCCTAACTCAACAAAGATAAACAATATAAGCAATAAGAAAATGTCAATTATTCAATAAATATAAAGATGAGTGTTGAAATACAAAGTCTTTTTGTTCATCAGTTTAATATGAAGCTATAGCATGAAATTCAAATGTATAGACACTTATTGTCTGGAAAATATCAAGCAAAAACTTCAAAATTCAACTTTTAAAATTGTTTTGAGATATAAAAATTATGTAGAAATAATATCATATACTATCTTTCTCACCTCTTTGACTTCGGTTTCTAACTATTAACATGATATTTTTATCAATTTTAGTGCATATCATGTAAAAAACAATTGTCTAATATTCCCTAAAAATGGAAAAAAAACGGTAAAAACCGGCCGGTCTGAAAAGTTGACCCGGGCTGGACCGGTGACCGGCAAACCGGCCGGACCGGTACCGGTTTGCCGGACCGATTCAATGTCTGATTGGGATGAATGGCGTAGGAATACTTAAGTAAGAATATTTTTCTTTTTGTTTTTTATTATTGCATATCTTTATGTTCGCTGTGTGAATGTGTTTTTTTGTTCTGTTCTCTTTTTCGTAGAGAAGAGTTTAGCAGAAATAAATTGTTTGCTTTCTTGCTTGTGTGTCCGCATTTTACTGATTAATTCGACAATTGTATGAGAATAAAAGGCATTCTTTCCTATAAAGTTTAGCCAAAGATAATCGAGGGTGGGAAATCCGAATCTGATTTCTGTTTTGTTTACTTGTATAAATCAATAGCTTGGTAGTTGTTTCTTAACGCGATGTCTACGAGAGAGCGCTGAGTGAGTCTTTAGACGAGCGTTACTTATTATTATTCGGTTATTTTGTTAGGAGTGTATTGTTTGAGGTAGCTATGTGGTGAGTAGAGCGATAGTTTTTGTTATTCCTTATCTTGGCTGACTCGCGCCACCCCTCAGTATATGTGAATCACCAAACGAGAGAAAAAGTTTGAGGTGGTCGGTGTTGGTAGTTAAAAAAGAAACGCGCACGATCATGAATGCTTATATGAGCGCGAGCGGTAAATCATTACGCCGGTTATCGTCGCCTTCAACAAAAAAAGAACAATACGGGAGCTCCTTTTTCACTGTTTTGTTTTATTTTAAACACACGTGACAATATTTAACTTGAAGCTGCGTGGAAAAAATGGAAAAAAAACTCCAAGGTAAATTTTTATAAGAAGAGAAGGTAGACGTCGGATGGAATGCCAGAGCGATGGTAAACATGTCTGACTAATGATATTTTTAGAAGTAAAGTACGTTTTCATTTAACAAAATATTATCCATATGAGTAGTTTTTTTTGTACATGTTATGAAGGAAAAAGCGAAACGGTGATAACTATTTAATGGCAGTCTGCATATCTTCTTAGCAACTTAGCCAAATATATCGAAAGTATTTTTTCCATTGCAGTAGTGTCTAAGAACTGACCATCAATTTCCTTACACTTTTAACACTCACAATAATCAAAAATGATGCATGTTCTTCAATAGTTTTCACGTTTACACATTGCCTCCCTAATATGTGTACGGGGAGCAAAAACTATTGTCAGTTTTTGATGGTGGTGATCAAGAAATTCATATTTCTTAGTCCTTCAACACCTCTCTTTTTTTGCATTATAGATTGTATTTTTCATTTAATATAATTACTATTTATTAATATGGGTATTCCAGGACTTTCTAGTTGGTTAACAAAACCTGAAAACTATCCAGATATTATCATACCGTGCGAAGAAGGTAGGCTATACACTAGAAATTCATTTTATCCATATTCTTTCTTGTCTTTTATCTTATTTGTTAGATGGTCAAAGTGCCTCGCGCTCAGTTAAAGTAATGTTTTTAGTTCTTACACTACTACTTATATTTCTAATTTTTTTACATATTTTCTTTTAGTTCGATAATCTCTATTTAGATATGAATGAAATTATTTATTTATTAATTGGATCAGACAGTAGTTCACCAATACAAAAAGAAGAAAATGAAATCATACAATCGGTTTTCGTAAGTATTGATCGAATATTTTCAATTGTTCGTCCACAAAAGTTACTTTATATGGCGCTTGACGGTGTTGCACCAATGGCTAAAATGAATGATCTACGTAAAGGTCGTTTTTTGCATTTCAAGAAACAAGAAAATAAATGTTTCGATACGAATTTAATAAAATCTGGTACACCATTCATGTCAAAACTATCAAATTGTCTCCAAGATTATATAAGATATCGTATGAATACAGACCCAGCATGGCGTTCAATAAAAGTTATTTTATCCAATGCAAATGTACCTGGTGAAGGTGAACATAAAATAATGGATTACATACGTCAACAACGTGCAGAACCAGATTATGATCCAGCTACATATCATGTTGTATACAGTGCTGATTCTGATGTGATATTACTTGCATTAACAATTCATACAAATTATTTTAGAATATTACGCATATCGCCATCAATTGATACTGAACTACAAAGATATGAATTTATAAATCTCGCAAAGTTACGTACAAATCTTGAGAATGATTTGAAAGTTCCTGATATATTTCAATGGAATCCTGAACGTGCAATAGATGACTGGGTGTTTCTGTGTTTTCTTGCTGGAAATGATTTTTTTCCAAATTTACCATTAATCGAATTTTATCGAAAGAATATGAATTTTCTTAGAGATATCTATAAAGAATCGTCTGGTTATTTGACAGAGAATGGTCAGTTGAATATGAATCACCTAAAGAAATTTTTAACACGTGTAGCTGGAAAGCAAGTTGAAATATTTGAAAAGGAAGACCAAGGTCATAATCAAGCAAATAATAATCAACCAGCATTTTCCATAGATTCAGTCAAGTATGTGAATTTTCGTAGTTTTAACATCAATTTTTGAAAGACTTGAAAAAAAGAAACAGTAACTTTTTTAATAAATCATTAGTATATTTCAAATCAGTTTGACAAAATGATAGGTGAAGATTGTTGAAGCAGAAAAAAACTGAAGAACTTATGTACCAATCAGATATAAAAAAACTATTGTCTTTAATTAGTTTATTAATGATTCATCTTTACTGTTATATTATAGAGATCAATTGTCACGTGGAAATCCTACGACTATATATTTGGGACCACCACGAATGAATCCACAACGTGCTGTGCCAATATCTAAAAAAGAAGCTGTGAAGCCTTCATCGATACTACCAAAAAATAGTCGACAAAGGGATCAACGTTACGGTGAAATAGAGCAAGAACCATCTGAGGTATTAATAAATAATGATTCAAATGATAGCGCGCGACTTGGAGGGAAAAGCTGGCATAAAAAATATTATAGAGAGAAATTCAATATTGACTTAAGCGCCTCGAAAGAGTTTCCCACTGAAGTTGCTCAAGATTACGTTCGAGGTTTACACTGGATTCTTCAATATTATTTTAAAGGTGTACCATCGTGGGATTGGTATGTATTTAATCAAAATTTTCTAATGCCATTAACCTTGTTATGATTCAGGTATTATCCACACCATTATGCTCCATTTGCTTGTGACATTTCAAACCTCAAAGATGTGTCCGTAGTTTTTAACAAAACTTCAAAACCATTGAAACCATTAGAACAATTACTGGCTATATTTCCACCACAGTATGCAAATTATCTTCCAAAGCAATGGCAGCAATTGATGTTGGATAAAGAATCACCAATTATTGATTTTTATCCATCAGATTTTAAAATTGATCTCAATGGTAAACGTGAAGAATCTCAAGGTGTTACTTTGTTACCATTTGTTAATAAAGAAGATTTACTTCAAGCGCTTGAGTCTGTTTATTCAACGTTAACACTAGAAGAAGAAAAACGTAATAGACATGGTTATGATCGGTTATTTATTCATACAAAAAATCCATGTTATAAACAATTCAGTACATTATATGATAATAATGAAAATCAAATAACAGAAACAAATCCATTTCATATATTAACGAAATTAAATGAAGGTATAACTGGAAAAATATGGGTTGATAATGATGATACATTTGTACGTATTGATGCACCAATAGAGGATCCAATAACAAAGAAAAAAATAAAAAATAATCAAGTTCTTTCTGTGAACTATCGAAATTTACGATTTCATGGTGATTGTAATGATATCAAAGATCGTCTGAACGAAGGTGATCAAGCAATTAACAAAAACTGAGTGTTAAATTTTTTTCATTAGACCAAATTTGATAAAGTATCCTATAAACTAATCTGGTAGTACTAAGTAATATGTAATCACATGAACACTAAAACATTTTTTGCATAAAGATCAACATAATAAAAATTACAAACTCTAGACGCCCTTTTTGCTGCAATAAACGCATAAATAATTAGTTCAAATAATTTTCGATACATGAACGAAAAGTTTTGATGTTTTCAGAACTTTCTGTGTTATTTATACTCTTGAGGATGTGAGTGTGATTGATGAGAGATGATCTTGTGTATTCTGTTTTCTTACACCCACACCCTTAACAAACTAGCATATAGTCTATGATTTTTTTGCAAGTTGATAAGTTTTATTTAAACAACAACAAAATAAATGATTAGAGATAGTTATAATATTTCATAATTCATAAGTCTCATTGTTGACAGTTTATGATGATAATTTTTAATGTTTTTGGATAATAGTTAATGGTACAGATTTCTCTGTACTACATGTCTAACCAAATGACGATGGAAAAGGAGAATTCGTTTGTAAAATACATTACGAAAGAATTTACTTGAGAGAACAGACGCGTAGAACGATATGGCATAATTGAAAAAGTACAAAGAGCCACCAAGCGTTTCAGCGAACGCTTCTGCGGCACGTTGATCGGCTGTTGGATTCACGATATAGAAGACGACGTTACGATAACTACCCGTACCAAAACGTAATAAAGAAAGCAATATGCTTAGACCCACTTGCACCACTATGACCTAAAATTTTGAAAAAAAAACACATATTATTTTAGTTTCTCATTGAGAAGAGAATTAATAGACAAAGCCATACCTTGATAAGCTTAAATTCAAGTGCTCTTCGACGATTTGGTACATGATTCTGTATTGTTGCACAGTTCACACGTTTTCGTGATTTTATCAAGGATTTCACCGTAATAAGAGAAAAGATAAACATCAGACAATGAGGCAAAAATATTACAACAACAATCAAATAGCCTGCATAAATAAATTTATAAACACTTTCCGGATTAGTTTGACATTTATCATCATAAATATCAAAAAGAATAAGTATGTGTATTGACATGGTAACGCCAACAATCAACATAGTAGCTGCCAGTCGTTTTTCAATTATAGTCCGACACCATGTGCGGAGTCTAACGTTGTCTGATGTAGATAAGAATCGATCAAGAGTGACCAAACACATATAATAAGAAGCAAGTGAAGGCAATGTCACAGCAAGATAATATCGCATTTTACAAAATACAGCCGATTGATTTAACAAATTACTACCAGAATGATCATAAGTCACACGAATTCCAACACATATTAGAATTGCAAATAATTCACATGCTGCGGTACATAATAAATAGAGTGCAGCTGAAGATTGACGGATCTGTCGACTGGTCAATGTAATTATATTACAAATACAGCCAATTGTGCCGAAAACGAAGGTAACCAGGTCGATAGATAATGTGATCTTAGAGAGAATTTGTGATAGTATTATTGAATAGCTGCTGGTTGTCGACATATCTATATTTTTGCTTTCTTATTTAATATAGAAAATAGAGGAAGATTCGAAATGTAGTTAAAGGAATTTATTGAGATAAAATGAACTGACTATTTGCTTCTTCTTTTTATTATTACATATATTCTCATTAAAAAGTACGTGTCAAGTGCAATCTTTTTATGGCCTTATTAATTAATTCTTTTACATGAATGTGCTCTAATATTTTCACACATATGCAGTGAGTGTTTGATGATGATTGATAAAAATAAAAATTTAAAAATATGATTAAGGCAGTTATTAAAGCATGATTTGTTATATATAAAAAGAGTTAAAAGGAGTGGCATTGAAGAATAATGTAAAGAAATAAAAAAACTGATTCCTATAAATGAATTAACTTATCTTAAATAAATCTATTGTGTTTTTAACTTTTTGTTCTATTTTAAAATAAATTGACATGGTTTCATATTTCTATCTATCTCCTTGCGATCTCAAGTACGTAAAAATAAAATGTCAGTAAATAATATACTTAGCTTTACACGTTTTCAATCTTCTACTGTTCAGCTATGTGATCTTTAGCGCTGTTTAATATATAGTCTTAGCTATTTATTTATTATGACTTTATTTTCTTCACAAAGGATTTAAATTCTCCAGCACTATTTAATTATATACAGCACTGTGCCAATTCAAAAGATGGATTGTGTATGAAAGTGCCACACCATATGATTGTGATCATATGATCTGAAAGTGCCACGTCATACACATGCCATCCTCTGGATTTTCACAAGCCTATTTAATCTATTTTCTTCATGTGCTAATTAAATCTTTGCTAAACATTTGATCTTCTTATTATCTTCTAATGCCTAAGTATTTAAGTCACTAACACTATTTAAAAAATTTTGTATTGCTATTTTAATTTTTGCTAACTATTTAATCTTCTCATTATCTTCTAATGGATAGCTATTTGAATCGTTGCTGATGGTGAACAAAAATCCAGATGGATCATTCTTTTATAAACATCTCATAGCTAGTTAAATAATTCTTATGTATTTATTTACATGTAATATATATGTATATTCAAGAGCAGCTATTGAAAAATATCATAACAATTCAAAGTATTTGATAAATAATCGCGACAAAAAGAAATTTACAGATTTTCCATAGTCAGTCACCCAATAAAAAACAGATCAGAAATTCTATAGGAAAGGAGTCAGCTACTTAGATAATTTAATAGTTGTACACATTTATTTAAATAGCTATGCTGTTTAATTAAAAAGTAACACTTTTGAGAAGCTACGAATACTACACATGTTAATGATATCTGTAATGACAAGAATCATCATTATAAGAGTGAGAGATAAATATTTGATATTCACCTCCATTCTACCCTAGCTAAGCTGATTTCAAAAGGAGTAATGATATAGAATATATCTGCTTATACATACCATATAATGGTTTAACCAAGAAAGAAATTAGACTGTTTATGATCATGACTGTCATACTTATTTTTTTTTACTCAAAAACATGCTGCATCATGAGGATATTTATAGTATAATAAATTACTTAATTAATGATCTTCTTCAAACATGATAATATATAAAAAGGAGGACGTCATAATTATAGATGCTGCAGTATCTTCAAACAAAAAAAACATGAGTAAAACTATTTCTAATTCACTTAGAGCAACAGGTTTATTTCTTTTTCTTCTCTTCGGGCTTAAAAAAAGTAACAATATTTTTTATATTCGTTTATAATATCATTTTATCTAGTTTAATTGTTAATAAAAAGTATATATTAGTAATAACTATTTATAGAATACGTGACAAAGTCTAAAAGTTTTTCTTGATATTAAAATCCTTATATTCAGTTAAAATGAATTATCATGTTGCATTAAATGATTAATAAGAGTCTTTTAATTATTATCTAGAATGTTAAAATTCTCAATTGAAAAGCATTGTTTTATTTTGTTTAATACTTTTTGTCATTATATATTCAATTTATTTTCTTATCAAGAATAATACATATCTTTATGTTAATTCATTGATAAAACATTCATCAACATTTTTATTATAGAATAATATCGATTATACTCGAATGATAGATAAAATTAAATTTTATTTGTTCATGAATAATTGAAAATATAAAATAGCAATACGCAGTTTCTTGATTAACTGATGAAAAATGTTCGTTACTCGACTATTATTTACGTTTTGTGATCGTCGACAGATCGTCAATAACAGCTAAAGACATAACTGGTTTATGCCATTCATCTCGGCTTTCAATACCATGAAATCCACCCACCACATAACATGTTTTTTTCTCATTTGTATATTCACTCTCGAATTCTACTGGAGTGACAACTGAGTCTAATGTAACCTTTTGAATGTTGCATGATGTTTGCGTATGAAGACCATAGCATAGTTGAAGAAACCAACCAGTAAGTTTTGTCCAGCTCCTAGTAAATAGAATATATCAAAGCGATATTAAGTCAACCTCAAAGCTCCAATCTTCTTCGAGATTCAAAGAAAAAAATCTAACTGAGTGTGAAATCAAAAACAAAATTTTCTTCACGTTCATTTAATTAGAAAATCACTCACCCTGATCCATGACCAACGTGTTCGACATTAAAGATTTTGTCCCAAAATTCATTGTCAACCTTGCCGCGATACGTATCAATGAGTTGATCGAGCACTGGTAAGAGACCTTTGACATAGGTCGAAAACTCGTCATCAGGAGTTGTAAAAGTCTGTAATTGTTCTGTTTTCTGTCGAAGAAGTAACCAATCATCAATTGTACCCATAAAGTGTACTTTTCGAATGCCACAACACGTCATCGCAAGCCCATAATCAAAATATTTTTTAAAGATATTCATAATCGTAGCACAGGATAATAACGATTCAACTTTGCCTGTCGTTGAATAGTTGGCCGTTAAAAGAGAAACAATATCGTTCTTGACATTTTCACCAATTTTCATACGCATGCTATCGAGAAATGCGTTCCAGCTGTGAAAAAAAGTTTAGATGTTTTCTTGAAAGTTTGAAAACTAATGAAAGTCTATGAACTGATCTCTTACTCAAGATTCGGTTGCATTTGTTCAATGGTCAATTTGATCTTTCCTTCGTGGTTAACAAAGAGATGTCGCAACTTCTCGGCATTGTCATTAATATATTTTGCAAAATAAATCGTTATCATCAACCACAAATCACTAAAAGACACGAAATAATGACATAATATTGCGTCATTATACATGTTCGTTTCTCAAACTATATATCACTTCGGCATTTCCAAGTAATCAACTTACTCTGGTGAAAGTACAATATCTTCATGAGAATTATAGGCATTGAGATAAGCACGAAATATAGCATGACCACCAGCATACGATGTGTCTGAAAATAAAAAAACGTTGTTCAAAAAGGAGAATGAGTGTACACTTATATCGAAATTTATATGTCAAACAGTTGTGACGAAAGAACAATTCCACTTTTATCGGATAGTCACTTCATTGGGAGATAAAGAATTTCAAGTGTACTTTAAAGATAGATAAAATTAACGGTATCTTCCATATGAAACACAATTTAGGAAGTAGATTTCTTCGAGAAAAGAAGTCAACTTTACTTCTGAAACAATAAAATAGGTGTCAATTATTCATAAAAAAAGAAATGAGATGCCGATTATCCTTATACTACTAATAACATAAACAACAAAGAACTTTTTACCTAGTGGAAGTAATTCTAAAGAAAAAAGTTCTCATACAATATAACGTATATTTGTACTTATTTATTCTCTAAGTTGGATTTATCTATAGAGTAAAAGAAAATCATAGTATTACTCACACGGTCCATTGGAAATTACATGTTGCACCTTAAACCGATCATGCTTAATACTACGATTCCGTCTATTACCGGAAACGTAGCTGATAACTCCACGAATCCAATGATCTGCTTCAGGTAGATCCGTGGGTTTATCAGCTTTATATTGTTTCTCAATCGTTGGAAGATCACCACGAATAATAACCGTATGAAATCGTTCGTTTGAAGCACATGCACTCATGATCACGAGCGTCGATATAGGTTGTATGTAAGCAAAAGAAAAATGAAAGAAAGTAAATATTATATACCTCCTTCCTCCTTTTTCACATTGATACAGAAAGTAATTACACAATGTAATGCGCTTTTTGTGAAAGTATTTTCTCTATTCTAATTTCATCTTGTTTATAATATATGACATCATCGGCTGAGTCATATAAAGTGAATGTAATACTTCGTTAATATTCTTAAAGGTCTTAGAATTTAAATAAATTGAGGACTCCAGTAATGCGTTTTTTGAGTGTATATAATTTTGCGATCGTTTCGAAAGATATTCCGATGAATTATACTCAAAGTTGAACATATCAGAAAATGTCGATGCATGAGTTGGAGTTATTTAACACTTGGCTAAGAATTGTCTTGGTAATTTTCTACTTTATATTACTATTCCTTATGCTTAAAGGAATATAATATACAGGGTTTGTCAAAATTATAGGCCCCCATATGTATCATTCACGAACCAGATGGTTAAGATAGGTGAATTTATGTGGCATGTAGACATATGATTATTCTTTATCCTCGTCATCTATATGTCGTATTGAAGTTACATGGGCTGTTGAAGTTATTTTAGATCAAGTAAATATCAAATAATCGATAATATTAAAATAAAAATGTACACTTTTTAATTATTTTCTCATTTTAAAAACATGCACATCATTTTTACTAACAGACATGAGACGTAATTCAGAAAAGGGTGTGGGTGAAGAAGAGACGCCCTCACTCATGTAAATATGAAACGCAGAATAGACGCTTATAATCGCGTTTCTTATTGAGAGGGTGTGAGTGTGTTAGTGTGGATGGACAAATGCCATACCCACATTCACCCTTTACGTCGAACTCCAAAGAAAAATGAGAGAGTTTCAAATCTACGATATAATAGTGTATCAGGTGACACAGGAGGTAGTAAAGTTTATATTGTCTATGAAAATCGTGTGGTTTATCCAACTTATTTAATTACTTTTATTCCATAACTTTTAATAATTGTTATTGAGGGATTTTTTAATATTAGCTTCAATCTGTCATTATTAAATTATGTTTTTCAATAAAATAAACAAGTTTTTCTCTGAATTGATCGAGTTAAATCTCATAAGTATAATTAAATGAGAAGTGCTTTAAATAAATCTTATTCATTAAAACACTCTGCTCACTTCTTCTCATTAATAAATGCCTACTTTATTGTTTATAATGAGTTTGTTTATTTTTATTTTTTTTTACAACACAAGAACAAAATTGTATTATAAATGTCTACCGATCGCGCATCTGTCTGTTCATAGTGGCTCGCATAGTCAAGGTTTCAACACCAATACGTCTTGCTGGTCGTCGTAAATGTAGAATATTGATTAGTTTGCTTCGAAGTTCAGGTAATGATAAAGCACAAACAAAAGGAAAAAGCGGCAACATAAAATAATCGAAAAATCCTGCATATAGAAAAAAGTCATTGATCGCTTCAGACACTGCATGACAAAGAAAGAGAATACTGGCTACTGTAATTGGAAACAAAAATATAAGATACAGCAATGAAATAGATAGCAATTGAATTGTCATCTTTCGATATTTTCGCCATTGAATTGGTTGATGTACACGATGTTTTTGCCACAAAACACGTAAAAATAAAGCCAGACTAAATATAACGGCTATACAAATGGGGACTATTCCATGAACTATTGACTCGTACATAGCAAATGTACGTATACCATACATACATGGAACTGCACAGACCGTGTAGAAATCAAGATAGATATTTTGACAAGGTGGAAAGAAAACTGCAATGATGTAGTAGAGAAGACAGTAGAGAAGAAGGGCGATGATTGGAAGATAATGAACAAAGAATCGTTTCTTTCTAGTTGATATCCACCTCTCATGAAAAATAAGAATATGTCTTTCGATAGTCGCCCAAGCAAAGAGTATTATATGTGTATCGTATAATCCCCAATCAATAAATGACCAGAATTCACAAAAAATCATTGGTCTTTCCCATATAACACCGTCCTTGTAATAAAAATATATCATCCATGGATATGTTGTCATTAGAGTGATAAGGTCAATGATAAGAATAATAATAATAATATGATTATTGAGAGCATGACGAAGAGTTCGATCAAAAAGAAGATTATAAAGAACAAATAATAAACAGATAAATGATGGAATAAGCAAGATAAGCAATGACCAAAACCAGACTGTGTTAGATATCATTATTCTGACGAATAAAACTGCTTTTCTTTTAGTGATGTTTGAGCGGACAAGAAATTGTGAGAATGAATATGAAGTGAAGAAATATTTTATCTCATTTTCTACTTCGTCGCAATAAAAGGTTTAAGGCATTTTATCTATCTTTTTGTCGGTAACTCCATAAATAGAACGAGACATTTTTCCATTAAAATTAATTAAAAATGGTAAATATAAATGTTGAAAGCATGTTTATTATATAGATTATGGTCGAATAATTATTCTAACTGCGAAATATATAAATGTATTGAGAACATATACTCGTATACACAAGACGAAAGAAAAATCTTGTTGCTGTGTCTTTTGTTTTATTTGAAGTGATTTTTCGAACTAAGCACATCAGTCCATACTCTGTTTCTTTGTATTAATTATTTTGTTAAATATCATGATATTTATTTAAGTTCGATCTTCTACCGAACATCTTGAACTAAAAATGATTAATATATATATATTGATGCATTCTAAGCATATTTAATCAAGAAGGATTAGCCATCAATAGATTTGTATATCATATCAGATGATATTAGTTAAATCGAAAATGAATTATAAAATATAGACTAATATTTTAGAAGAAATTTTCCATCTTATTTACATAAAAAAAATATAATACTATGTTAGATATGATGATTCATCTAAAATTCATATTTTTTTTAACGATAGAAATAAAAATAAAATATTTTAAGTCATATAATTTTAAGAAAGATTTCATAAGAGAATTATTCTCTTCTCATTAATATTCAATTGAATATTTGATAAGGCAATTCTGCTGGCGTCAATATTATTATTCAGAACCGTATATAAGGCATCTTTTATATTAAATATTTATTTATTTTTGTCACTTACAATAGAATTATTAGTACTAAAAGATTATATTTTATTATTCATAGTTCGTTAAATTCATTATAGTATTTTTTTTATTAATACCCATGTAAACATGACACGCAGAATAGACGCATATAGTCGCGTTTCTTATTGAAATACGTTTACACGCAATCGCATACTTGACCGCGTATATACGCAGTTATAAAAAATATCCAAACGCATCTGAACGCGATTTTGCATTAAATTATATCCCTACAGCAATGCGAATAAAAGGAAAAGTTTATCCTAGAGTTTTATAAAATGTAGATCTCATAAAATTATTAGAACGAATACAATTTGATTTTTTATATAGTTGAATTTAGCAAGAACTGAAATAAATTATTAATTTAAATATTCAGTATTATATAAACGTAAGACAAAAACTCCTATGAAGATACGAACTAGCTTGTCTAAAAGCTTTATGTATGTGAATGTATCGAATGTAAAAGTTTTTTTATTAGCAACTAACATAAATAGACTAGATTCATAGTTATTCTGAAGCAACCTACATACTTCTTTATTATATTAGATTATATTTTTGATCAAAAGCATCATGCAAATATGAATATCTTTGTTCAAATATAGACCAACAAAGAATTAAAAGTATCAAAAAAATACACATATTTCTGTTAGCCTTAAAACAAAAATATTTATAGAAGACTATTAATAATGTTCGATAGCATCTAAAAAGCGTACAGATATATCTATCAAAACAGATTTTGGTAGAATAAAAAAAATAATTTCGAATATTTATTATTCTGTATCTGGCAAAAAACGTAAAATTCTAACAATTGTTTTCAAATAGCGAATCTATAAACAATATTGAATGTTCCTATCATCAATTATTATGAATAAATAAATATCAATCTCTTCATATATTATTTTCTCGATTTTGATTAAACTTTGTCGAAATAATCCCTAAATATCTAATTTAAGTGATGGATTTCAATTTTAAGCATATAGAAAAATTGTTCTTGATATTTACATTAGATGACAAAAAGAAAATAGAAAAAAAAAGAAGTATATTATTTCATAAAATATGATATTCAAATAATAAAATTTTCATATATTGGCGCCATTTAAAGTTGTATAAAAATTTGTTTTATAGAAAAAGAAGACAACGAAAATGGTTTGAACAAAACAAAATTTCGAAAATTTGAGAAAAAATTGTATATTAGGTCGTTTTTCATTCAAGCTAATTTTGTATACGAAAATAGAAATATTAATACTTAAAATAAATATTTATGTCAAAACTATTGAAATAATACATGCATTCACATATATATGAATTTGAGATTCACATACAGTTCATCATTCATATGACAACGATTGTAGTCACATGTGACTGAACGGTATGTATGCTTGCTTGTTAATCGCTTGTTCTATTCTCGCTTATATCATTTATATCATCCTAGATAAATCAATACAATAACACTCCGTTGGCCTATAATGAGGTAAAGACCATCGTTAGGGGATATTGATGGCGACTCAGATCAAACCTAAGACGGATTGTGATGTTCTTTTTCAATTTTAAAATTTAGCTAAACGCGTCCAAACGCAGTTTTATTTATTATCACAGTTTATGTTCGAACTGCGTCGTCAGTGAAACAATTGATGCGTTTGGACGCGTTTTATTTCTAACCGCATCTAAACGCATTTTCTCCTTAATCGCGTATAAACGCAAGGAATGTTTCATCCACGCTGGGTATAGACGCGTTCCTATTACCGCAATTCAGACGCGATTTGAACGCAGTTGCCACGCGTTTTTATACAAAAAATATTTACATGGGCACCCATACTCTCAAGATGGTTTTCTTTTGTTGTTGTCGTTTTTTGTTTAAAGAAGCATATTCGTATTGAACTTCTTTTTTATAATTTGTTGTATTCATTATTTGTTCTATGTTATTGTGATTTTGTTCTACGAACGGATGCGCCTATAGAGAATGATCCTCACCATATTTTGGTGATATTTGCATCATTTTTTTGTTATTGAGACGTAATCTTTACTTCTATAATATTCCCCATTTGATTCTCTACAAACCCATATTAGAGAGTCTCATTATAAAATGTTATGCTAAAAAGACGGTAGATTGCCAAGTAGACAATGAATAAAAATATGTAATAAGTAACAGACATTTTATCATCAATAATAAAAAATTCTTTCTTACACGTAGAAATACTTTTATTGATGTATGAATTTTAATTTAAATAAAAAAGACATTTTCGTTCTTTTAAATCTACACAAGTGAAATGGCCATGAGATTCTTATTTACTCATTTGTTGTTATTATGATCGATTCAGAATGGAATCAAATGTGTTGTTAACATCAAAAAGAAGGATGGCAGCAAAAGGACTCAACATTTTTGATATGGAGAGAGTAAAACAGGCTGGGTTTGGGTATCATCTTCTTCGCTTCCACACACACATTGACACCATGAAGAAAACTGATCGAGCACGGATCTTTGTAAAACAAAATGTGTTTTATAGATAAAAAAAAGTATAAAGACAAAATGTGAGTTGAGAAAAATAAAAAGTAACTGCATATGGTTAGAAATCATTGAGAATCAGTGAAACTCACTCGATTTCATATGACAGTCGACTAGGTTTTGGACTGATTTAATTCAGTTTTTTCCACCTTGCTGCATAGACTATTGAGCCAGTGCTTAAGTTGTTCTTCTGCATTATTTGCCAGCGTTTCTGTATTAGGATTAACTTCTTCAACGTTGTTTACTGGTGGCACTATATTTTCGGCATCTTCTAAACGATCAATTTCTTTTCCGTTCTGGAAAAAAATAAATGTTGGCAACTTTTTAATTTCATATTCTTTTTTTAATGGATTCTCAAGCACAGAGATAACACATTTGTAAATATGAAGATCGTTCTTGCTTTCGTAAGTTGTACGCCATGATTTAAATTTAGATTCTATACTCTGTTCCTTGGGGTAACTATTATTACGAAAATCGAAATGACGTAATTAAAACAGTTAAAAAGTTCTAGTTCCTACTTTGTATTAAATAAAATTAGAACCAGTTTATTTTCTTTTAGCTTTTCTTGCACTTTTTCTACAGATTCCAACTGTGGAAGTGGGACGCCAAATAGTTGTGATCGAAACGCCATGTCACTGCAAGTGTATGCTGAAGGACGTAATGAATGTATCGTTTTTTTTTTCAATTTAATAATGGCAACCAAAAGAAAAGAACGAAAAAAAAATTGTCGTTGCTACTGTTGCCGTTTTAACAACGCATCAAGGATGAAACAATTTTTAAAGGCATCGAGAAGCGCATTTTTTAATATATGAATTTTTTTCAACGCAATCAAACTTACAGCTATGCAATCGAATCGTATAAACATCGTAAATACTAACTCGACATCCGTTAGCATACGAACTGAAAACGAAAAACCAACATGGCAAGAGCTTGTCGAAGAAAAAGTAAAAAAGTACTCGTCCTTGGTAGGTGTAACATGTCACATATATTCGTCTTCCATGAACAATGTTGATAATGAGACGAAGAAATGTCCTTGTGGTCGACTACCCAGACGTCACAGTTTTGATGATAAACCTCACACAGAACATGCTGACAAATCCACCGTCGAAGATGACGATTTTATCGCTGTAACACCGCTCACGGTTTTTGGACAACTTGGACAGTTTGGCAATGGTGCTCGAGTACGTTTTTTTAATTAGAATCATCTGATAGTCCTTTAATACATTATATTATATAGTTCATTCGATGTTATTCAGGTGATTCAAGCATACACAAAATTTTGTCCGAACTGGTTATAGATGATGTGGGTGTTAAACCTAGCTTGCTTATCAGTTGTTTTGGTGGAGCTAAGAAATTTACTATGACCGATAAACTGGAAAAAGAGTTTTGCATGGTATATCACAAGCGGCAGCTACTAAAGGTGCGTTCTGTTTCAAAATTTCAGGAAATAGCTCAATATTATTTTCTCATACTGATTCTAAATAAGGTATTTATCTTCAATGTAAATGCTTCTTGGTTAAGACGCAAAAAGTCCACGTTCTCCTATATCCTCACATAAATTCTAATAAAAAAATAATTAAACTAAGCGGTGGGGTATAAGCATTATTTCTTTCATAGGTGTATGGTTGTTGACGACAGGATTGAACAACGGCGTATCGAAACTTATAGGGCAGAGTGTACATCGTTTTACATTGTTGAGTAAAAAACCATCAGAGCCAACTATTATTGGACTGACTAGTTGGGGTACATTGACAGAGCACGCACAAGCCGTGCTGAAGTGGCAGGTGCGATTTTTAAATACAAAATAAGCATTCTTTTTGTTATAGTTTATCTTATCTCGTATAGACATCACGTAGAATACACCAAGCTGTTTGGACGAAGATTGGTGGAAAAAATGTACCGATAACTTTAGATTGGAATGAAGACGATACACTTGATAAATATCATACTCATTTTCTTCTACTGGATAATGGCCGTGTAGGAGAATATCTTGATGATCGTCCTCGCTCTGATTTCGTCGAGGCTTTATGCGATAAAAGAAAATGTCAAGCTGTTACAATCATTATTGAAGGTGGCCCAAACACACTTGAAGTCATTAAAAAGGATTTGCTAAAGAAGCGACCAGTGATTATTATTCAAGGTAGTGGTCGTTTAGCGAATGCACTCAGTACATTGATCGAAGTTTTCAATAAGAAGAAAGCACTTGAGTATAAAAAGTTCCTTGCTCTTCTTTAATTCAATCTTTTATTTAGTGATGATGAAGTCAAACATCAACTGACCGCATTCCTTCCAGAATTCGAATCTGAATTCAATGAAGATGAGCAAAACTTATTTATATCCCGTATAAAGGAAATATTGACAGCAGAATATCGTAAATATCTCCATGTATGCAAACTAGAACGTAATACAAGTCTTACGGACATGATTCTCAAAGCTGTGGATAGCGGTAAACTATTTTCAACAAGGGGGAAAGTGCTGGTACCGTGGGTGAGGGTATTGCATTCATTTCATACTTTCATATGCACTTTCACCCTTGATTTTCAACTATATGTTCAAATTATAAATTTTGTTTTCCAGATCAACTTGATGAAACTCAACAAGCAGATTTCTTAGAATTAGCTGTTCGTTGGAATTATGTAGATCGAACTCAATCCATTTCAAAACGGTCAGAAGTATGCAGATGAAAAATAACAGATATTTATTTTGCTTTTATAATGTTCTTTGAATTTTTCGTTAGACAGATGTAAGCCTCGATCCTCGTTTGTTTCAACACGCACTTATAGAAAATCGACCAGTATTTGTTGATTATTTTCTACGACGATATCATAATCCTCTTCAAACAACTAACTACGTGTATTTAATGATCATCTATTTAGAAACATAATTAATAATTTGCTATTTGCTATTTTAGAGAAGAGGGAAATTCAACGAAGAAGGATAGCACATCCGCTGCATCATCAGTACAAAGAGAAGACGATGCAGATGTGATCTTTAGAGAAAACGTCTCGCGCACTGCATACGCTTTCGAAGTTATTCTTAATGAACTGTATCCGTCCATTGAAACGCGGCCTGCTGATGTAAGATTTATATATGTTTAAATTACTTTTTCGCCATATTTATGTATTCTTTTCTAGCGTTGGATTATTCCGAAAACAATAGAACAACTTGATGCTAATTATAAGGACATTATAGGACCGTACACAAAATCACTCTATTTTAAACAAGATGCAGCTAGTCGAATATTATCAACTCTACAGTCGTTATGTCATTGGATTTCTTGCGGTGAAAAAGATGATAAACAAACGAAATCTGGCATTGATCAGCTGCAGAAGTCCGTGATTCAATGTTCTAATAAATCTTTTGACAAACAAGACATGTTGCGCGAACTTTTCGTATGGAGTGTGTATGCAGGTTATCCGGATATTGCTTTTGTTCTTCTTCTACAAATTGAATCGCGAATTGCTGCAGCACTGATTGGAGTGCGTATAGCACAACGTATTTCATTATTTGCTAATAGCTTGGATCTACGCCACAAATATAGTCAACAAGCAAAAGATTATGAAGAATATGCAAAAGCATGTATTATAGCGTGTTATCAACATAACGAACGATTGGCTTGTCAACTTTTAGTACGCGAGAATCCATTATTTGGAGACGTGACTTGTATGCAAGTGGGTAGATTGACTTTTTCAAGCAATTTTCTATTGAATTTTATTTCCATATAGCTAATTATTGCATCTCGTAGTAAACCAGTTACAAACACGAACTGTTTTATTGAAGCCCTTAATAAGGAATGGTTTGGGCAAATGGTTGGTACGACAACTGAAACCGTAAGATCAAAATTCGAGTTTATGATTAGTCTAATAACATTTGGATTAACCTCACCATTTTTAATGACATATCGTGAAGCAAATACTGATAACAACAAATTGCAAGACCATGTAAGTTTACTTTTGAGTAAATCATGTTTAATTAATCAATATTTGTTTTCCAGAGCGATCATCAGAGTCATAAACGTTCTAACAGGTAAGCTCTTTATTTCAATCAAATCAATCACTCATATATGAGTACATTTTAGATGGAAAGGAATTGACAATCAGACTATTCGGGATCCTAGCAAGTGGGATAAATTCTTATACTTTCATTCAGCTCCTGTAGTCAAAATGAGCTATGATTTCGTGAGTTATGAAAGCAAATTGATTTCCAGTTTAATAAATATTACCTTTTTTATCTAGGTGATCTATGTATGGTTTCTATTAGTATTTAGTTATATGATGTTATTCCATATGAGATCTGATGAAGATCGAAGTGATTGGACAAAAATTTATTTGATTATTACTGTTTCGACAATGGTTATAGAAGACTGTCGTCGAGTAAGTCGTACCATTTGTTTTTTACCTTTTCGACAAGGAATAAATTATAGCTGGTCGTTAATTATCATACTCAAATGATGGAAACATGGAACTGGTTAGATTCATGGTTCTTACCTTTATATGCAATGCAATATATTCTTTTTTATATCGGTATAATATGTTACTACCAATCAGAGAATCAAGCTCAACTATTTACAACTGCTAGGTATGAAATATATTGAACTACTAACGGGTGAGCCATACATTATATATGTATACTTCGTTTTATAGAATTATTCTTGCCATTGATCTTGAACTTTGGTACCTTTTCTCATTACGTTTTGTTAGTGCTATAAAACTGTTAGGTCCGAAACTCGTCATGATTCGAAACATGGTAAGTAATTAAGTTGCAATTTTGAAATCTAGATAAATTCATATTCTTAGACACGCGACCTGGCGGCTTTTATTTATATAATTTTTGTGTGTATTGCTGTTTATGGCGTAGTATCACGTGCTCTAGTTATGTATGATACATTGGATTTTACTGCTAAAAGTATTTTCACCGGTATCTTCTATCAACCTTACTGGTTATTGTACTCCGAGGCCGATGCTGAGCTAGGCAATCTTGACGGTATATTGTATTTATTTCTTTATTTATTGAACTATAGTTCTATCCTTTCAAGCCATTATCAATGGAACTAATTCAGAAATGGCTGCAGAAGCAACTGTAAATCAGGTTCTATTGGCTTTTCATATGATTTTGATTAACATTCTGATTCTTAATTTACTTATTGCTGTTTTTAAGTAAGAATCTTTCTTGTTGGAATTGAAAGTCATACTAGTGCTCATATTCTATTGATCTTTAGTTTTACTATCAATGATGTTCAAGAGAAGAACGAATATTTTTGGCGTTATCAACGCTATGAATTAACTCGTGATTATTTTGAGAAACCAATATTAGTTCATCCGCCTCTTTCACTCATTGCTTATGTTATATGGCTATTACGAGAATTCTTCCCTAGTGGCACAACTTTTCGAGTATTCAGTAAGTATTACGAATAGATTTAATAATAACATATGTATCTTTCGAATGTTTTGTATTTAGAATTTCTTCGTAATACGTCTAATATGGATTCTCATTGGACTGAATTTGAAAATGCTGCAACTTATGAACATGCACGTAATTTTGTCGAAAAAAAATATCGAGAAAAAGACGAAGTTAACATGTCAACGTAAGCTTTAATATTTTGTTATCATCTGATATTACTATTAAGTTGTTTATAGATTACAAGCGCAAATAAATGCGTTGAAGGATGAAAACGAACAAATTCGACGTGATACTAGTGAAATAAAAAATCGAGTATGTTATTAGAGTAGATCTTATTTTTTTATCATGATCATAATGTTTCTTCTGATTAGGTGACGACTAGCACGAATTGGATAATGAAAGCAATGGCTCGTGTAAAGATGTCACACGATCCACTACCTATCTTCGAACATCAAACAAGTAGCGATGCATGAAAACTCATTCGTACTATCTAACATTGCTATATTGATACTCGAATATTGAATACGCGTGTTATTGCATCGATATTAAACAATGTCTGTTTCATTGATTTCAATTCATTCGAAATAAAGTTCAAATGAAAAGACATTTTTATACATGTTTTCTTGCGAATGTCAGAGTGTGGTGATGTTTTTATCTGCCATCATCTCGATGGTATGCGTGTGTGATTTCATCAGTTCCTCAACCACATTCACCCACCCAATCTATTCACTTGATATTGTGCACATTTTCAATTCATAGTAATAATTATTACTCAAACTTTTTATAATATATCAGATTGTATTCGATTGAAATAATCAGCAAGATTTCTATAGTTTGAGAAAAAAATATAAGATTAGAGTGATGTGAGTATTTCAATCTAATCTATTATTATGCACTGTAAGATCGTAAAATATTTTATTTTATGAAGATACATCTACTTTATCAAAAGTTTGAATTCTTTTCTCTACAAGAACGATAGCATTTATATTTTCATCATAAAAAGCAAGAATGTAGATTATACTGCTATAAAATAATCACATGATACTTTCATAATCTGGGGAACTTTTTATAACGATAAAATATTTCGCAATGTGACCTACTAATTTATTATATATGATAAAGAGTAAAGATCATACACCATTATATAGTTTACTGCTGTATTAGTTTATGATGCAAATAATATTCAAGTATTTTGAATGATATCTATAGAACTATGAGCATCTATAAAACTATTTACGATCAAAACTATATAAAGCGATGAATTATTGTGAATATTTTCAGAATAAAAATGCGCTCTATTACATACACATTACTGGTCTTACTGGTAGTTACGATTATTAATGGCTTTCCATCTGCTGATGACAATATGGAGTCATATAAAGATGTAATGCTTAATCGTGATGTAGGAAGTTGTTTGGCATGGTATGCACTTCAAGGTAATCCACAAAAACTTCTGGATGAAACATTACCACCACCATGCAATTGTCCAGCATCATTTCCACCAACACTGATTGATGGTTGGACAACAGATCCAGAATGTGATGCAGCAAAACAACCCAACACTTGTGATTTACATAAAGGTGCTTATGGCTGTTATCGATATGCCTTCAAATCGACAGGACCCGGTGCTCAAGCATGCTACGATAAAAATGGTAAATTTATTAGTGATCCTTGGAAAGGTGCTGGTACAGTCGATGCAGAAACTCCACTGGGTGATATTATTCAACAGGGCGAGCATTTCCTTTGCGATGTGGTTCCTTATTACAGTTGTTGCAAACTCACTCTTTTCGGACAACGATTCACATGCGGTCTTTACTACGAAAAACGTCCACCAGGACAATGCGTAGATAAACCTGCTATTTGAAACATTTTTTTTTGATTTGATTAAAATCAATAAATAAACAAAGAAAACTGAATGATTATTTCATACTTTACTTGACATTTCGTTACGGTATCGATTCTAAGACAATTTTTAATGCATACATCGAGAAAGAAAAAAAAAAGGAAGAAAATTCACACAGTTAAGTATTTTATATAAAACACTGTTTTAATGAGAAAGACCAAACCAGTTGACGTTCCATTGAAATCTTTGAGACTCAATGAGTAAGAATGTACCATTAGGATAGTATGTAGAACGAGCATAGACTGTGAATACATTTGATGAAGGTCGATAGATTGCGGTATAACCTATTAATGCCCAGTGATCAGAAGTACCTGCCATACTGGTGAAATACGATGGTGTTGAATTAAAATTACAACTAGCCGTATTAATAATCATTGTTATTCCATCAGATGAAAACGTTTGCCAAAGTGTATATGATGAGATACCACCACAATAGTATGCTGGTCCAGTTGTTTGTGATGAATTTGTTTGATTTAATTGAGTTTGAGTTTGAGTTTGAGTCAAAGCTAAAGAAAATAGTTATAACCATGAAGAATAATTAGACAATAAAATAAACTATCATATATTTGATAATTATCGGTTATATAGGCATTGAAGTATGTTTAGTCAATGAAGAAACATTTTTATCTATCTATCGAAAAGATCAGATTTTTGAAACTCAATTTTGTTTCATATCAGATTTATATACGTACATTTTTCTCTAATATATAATGTTAATACAGAAGCTAGTACGACAGAAACCAGTAGAGTTCCAATGAACATCCATGTTAAACAGGAACTATACTTTGATAATAACTGCATCATTTTATTAGTTTGTGCTTCGATTTATCTCCGATAATATAGATTAACGCACAAGATTATTTTCTTCAATTTATAAGCAAATGTTTCGATGTTGTTGACAATAAACCTGTCTCACGTGATTTTTTAATATTGAATGAAAGAATGTAGCTGACATTCGTTGGCTTCTTATGCTATACGTTGTACTGATTCAAGCTATTTTTTCAAAAATATTTCTTTCAACATAATAATATTCATAAAATTGATTCTTTTTTTATCTCAATAGTTTTAATCAAAAAAATACATTTTATATAATAATAGAAATTTATTTCACGAAAAAA